GGGCGGATGTGATCGAAGAGTGGACAGAAGCTTATGATAAGTGAGAGGCATTTTTTGAAAATTCGAAAAACCGGGGCTCTTGCTGCAGACGTGGTCTGTTTTCTGAGGCAGAATCTCATAATTACAAACATTTTCGTTAAGTGTTCTCAGTCGAACTCAAATGCTCGAAGTTCAATCCAAAGCATCTGCGGATTTAACTGTATTATTACGGTGAGAAAGGTGTTGACCAATGCAATACAGTACACAGTATTTTCAATCTGTGCCCGTTATTATTATGAATTGGTTGAGTAGATGTCGCTAGAAGTCACTAATGAATTTCAATTTAACGCGGGGTCACCGTACGTTTAATTTTCATGGGGTTTTACCTATTTACAAATAAGCATTTATACTCCGTCAAAAATCAGTTGATAAATCTACATGTGACATTTTCGTGGAAAATCCTGACAGATTTTTGAAAGTTTTCCGGCCCGTGACGGGTCTGGAATTATTTGGACGCATTGATCACTGATCTTGATGATGCCTTATTGAGTTTGTTTCATTTCCAGCATTCGTCACGGATGAATAGCGGAAAATTTCATTGATTTCACCTCAGAACAGAGAAAAATGCATTTTGTGATCCTGATGAAAAGTTTTTAGATTCGATTATTTTTTTCTTTCAGTCTCCTATTGTCAAGTACTCCTCGTTTAGTATTAAAATCTGAGCAGCCTGAAAGAATTCCCAACATGAATTTTCATCGAAGTATAATTTTTATGCATTTTGTTTCCGCGTGTCTTGCTCCAACTTTAATGTCATGAAGCCGTATTATTGCGCATGTTTCAACATATGAGCCATGCACAAAAAGGGAGGGGACCTCATGACTGCGTAGTATCGTTTCAGACAACTTGAAAATCTCACTGCTTATTTTATGCTGATATTAATCCATTTCAAACCTCTAGTTTTTCAGTGGAGCATGTGTTGAGCCGACCGGTTGCAGATTGGCAAGGCCCCAAAGGCCGAATCAATGAAGAAATTCTGAAAGGTTTTCTAGTCGAGTGGGACGAGGCGAATGATCGCAGTGTCCTGATTTGCGTTTGCGGGTCAAGTGCCTTCAACGACGTCGTTCGAAAGTGAGTCAATTTCCTTCCCTTTGCACAGGGCATGCAAATTTTCGGTGACTTTATGTTCATTTTTTGCGCAGAATGTTGCTGAACATCGGGTTCAAGGCCGGTGAGCTGTTCTTATTTGACGGATGAAGTCGTTGCGTTCGATAGCCAAGAGACCTTGAAAACTGTGTATTAGTCCAAAGAAATTTTTAGCATCAGTTTTTGTCGAGTGCATCGAATGACGGGATTATATTCAGCAGTAAAGTCATGGTGAGTGGAATTTCTTGGCGTTTAAAAAAGTGACAGGGATCTCACGCAGTTCAAATCCTGCCATGATGAAAAGTTTTTGGGTCAAAAAATGTTTTTCATTCATACCGAAATACTCCTTACTTCTTAAAATATGTTTTAGTTTACAGGAGATGATTTTTGTTATAATATACCTCTCAGTTGTACTGAAACAACAGAAGGAAAATTATGAATATTCTGGTACAGTGCAATTGCTGAAATGAAAAACACATTCTGGTGATGGTTTTTTTGTGGTTATTGAAATGAGAATAAATTGACAATGTGTCAATGCTGTTTTCATGCATTCCTTTTCTTCTTTTTTTGGTGCTGAAGTTCTGCTTTGTGCAGTGTGATTGTGTTTTGAGATTTTTGCAATTTATTGTGTTTGAGATTTTTTCTCCTGGAAAACTGATTCATATTATGACTCTTGCAAGCTACAGCCTAGCTGATTGGTTTCATTTTAAAACTGTTTTGCTTTCACACAAAAGTGATAGCAGAGTTTGGTTCCACATCTCTGTAGTGTTGAAATCTGAAATTTTCAAAGTTTCCCAGAAAGTGATGAACTCTTGAAAAGTGAGTGGAATGCTTTGTTGGGATTTATTTACCTGTACTGTACATACAAGTTTTTGGCAGCAGAAAGGATCAGTATCTCAGATCCATATCCCTAAAAACGCCATCTTGCTGAGGAAAAAATGACCTGAGCCCAAACAAAACCAACTTTTAGTGATTTGTTTATGAAGTGAATAATTTTTGTGAAAGAGATTTTTTTTTTTGGAGACCCTAGGTTGTCCAAAGTTCATTTTGGTTCTTGCTAGGCTAGATTCTCCACCAGTTATATTCGAAGAAACTTCCAGTTTCTTAATTTTGGGGCCAACCTTTTGTTTTCAGACACTTCCTTTGGTGTCCATGGGTGTAGGTCTAAGATGGGCAATCCTGTCTCAGGCATGCACCATGGGAGGCAATCCTGAGGTTTGCTCTTCTACAAAGGGTTTGTTCAGCAAATTCTTGTTGGACATGATATATTTAAAATTGGTGAAAAGCAAAAAGGTTTGGAAGTGCTGCTTGCCTAAGCTTTCTGATTGTTTGATTTATTGTCAACCATCAAGTCAGTAAGGAGTGAGAACAAGGCTATGCTACCAATTTTTGTGTGGATAGAATCCAGACTATGACTCCAGGCTGTGCTGTGCCTGGAAGGTGTGTGGAAGCATTCTAGTTTTTTTATAGATGTCATGCAAACAAATTTGTAGGAGTGAGTGATTCCATGCCAGCTTATTTTCTTTTTTTTTAAATCCATGAAACCCATCAAAATTGCTTCAGAAGGGAAATCTCTTGAGGACTTTCAAAGCACAAAATGATTCAAATTTATTTGAAACATTTTTAGTCAAAAAAAATTTTTGTTCAGTCTTCTGTTTTTTTTTCAGTCTCAATTTGTCCAAGAAGTGTGCCAGACTTATGAGCCGAAGTTCAGTGTCTTATCCTGCATTTCAAACCAAAAGAAGACTGAACAAAAATAATTGTTTTGACAAAAAATGTTTAAAAGAAGTGTATGAATGAAGTTGTGTCTGGAAAGTTTGCAAGAAGTTTTTTTTGGAAGGGATTTTTGACGGGTTTTATGGATGAAAAAGAAAGCAAGCTGCCATTTCACTCATTTCCCTTTCAATTGAGTCAAATTTTGAATTTCATGTCTTCCACAATCTTTTTGTGCAAGGTTTCAGTGCAATAAAAGAGTGTTGCAAAAAATTGTGCCAAACCTTTCCCAGTAATGTTCAAAAAATCAATTGATTGAACAGTGATTATTCTGGGGTAGAAGTTTCTGCCAATATTCAATTGCCTAATTAATTTGTTGATGCTTGCGGAAAATAAATTGACAGTTTGAGCAATTGATATTTGTTGACCTGATTCGCACATTGTCTGGTGCTTTTTATGACATGGCTTAATTTTTGTTGACCTTTTTTTTCCTGTAGAACTTCTTGAGAAGATGATTGGAAATTCACGGTTATGTATCCAAAAATTTATTCCTGCCTTATTGATGCATTTTTCTTGAAGCAAGTATTCTATGTACCCAATAGAATTTGTTGAAAAGAACTGTGATATATGCTTTAAAATCTCATTATAGCGATCTCCTGTCAAGAAAGTAATCCTTACAACGAATTTGTTTGTCCCTGTCCAATATCCACAATGTTATCATAACTTCGTTGCTCATACAACGAAGCTTTTGTAATGTAGAGTTTTAATTAATTTTTGTTTTTAACGAAGCATAATGTTCCGAATGCGTTGTTGTAACAAGTTTCTCCTGCATATATGGAAGCATTGAGGAAAAAGCGGAAGGGGAAGAAGAAGAAGAGAGAAATCTCGGCAGCCTTTGTGGAAAACGGTGTTTCCGGGAAGCTGGCAGCATATGCAAATCGGTCAGTTGCTTGGAAAAATCCGAGAAAGAGAGAGGTTCTCCTTTTTCTCTCAATTTCTCCTCCTTTTTGTGTATGTATGTGTGTGTGTGTGTGTGCCTACGCCGAGTCGGTGGCGAGGGTTTAATCGGCGTGGAAATTCTCCAGACGTTGTCGGGGAGCTAGCCTGGCCCGCTATGTTTTTGTCGGGCGCCTTTGTGCGACCGCCGGCGAAGTTGGCGGACGGACGCCGCGCGAGGCGCCTGAAACACCGCGACGCACGAAGAAGAAGGAAAGGAGAAAAGAAAGGGCTTTGGTTATGCGATTAATTTTTTTTTTTGCTCGTTTTTCTCGACGGTTTCGAGCTTTTTTTCTCTCTCTTCTTCTTCTGTAGTTGATCATCCTGTGTGTTTTTATATAATTATATCTCATGACATAATTTATGTCAACGTATTCGTTTCAGTTAATTTTCCGAAAATTCACGAACGAAAATTTCGAGAGCTACTGAAGCAGGGGATGCAAAAATATACATGATACATATTTGATTGACGTTTTGCGAGGTTTACAGCTTTGTATCGCGATTAGTAAACTTTTCGAATCATGGATTCCGTTTTGCTTGTTCTGTTAATTAAGGCTCCGATTTACTTTTTTTTCTTTTTGGTGAAGCGTTTATTCTTATTGAAAACCAAGAATGAAATAAAAATCTTCGTAGAAATGCAATGCCTGATTATTGATGGGGTGAATTGGGTGCGTTTGACATGTTTCATCTTCTTTTTTTTTCAACGCAAAGAAAATTGAAAATTTGGGTATGAAACTTTTTTTCACTGGATTGCGTGATATGTAACCAATCCGTAATAAAGAAGTATTATCCCAAAAACTCGCGACTCACTTGAGTGATATTAATTTATACTGTTAGTCTTAGGAACAGTTCTTAACTTTGGTGTTGTTTTTCTTTTATGAACATAACGTTTACGAATCGAGAAATGTCAATCCTCTGTTTTTTATAGGCTTTTAATCAATTTGAATTTGGGGTATGCATTTATTTCTGTTGAAGGGGTATATCCAGATTTAGCAAAGTTTAACCCACTTTTGAATGTCCAATCTAGCTGAAATTTTCCACACTTGCCAAATGTTGATGACAATGCAATGTACAGTTGAACTGTACAGTTGTACAGTTGCTCTTCAATTTGAATTTCTAGGGACCAGGAAAAAAATTTGACTTAGGGAGGTTTTGATTTTTGGAGGTTTCCAGTTGAAAAAAAAGACCTTTTTGTTGTGAGGAGAAGTGAAATAACGTGTGGGAAATTGTAAATGAGGATATTCTGGGCCTAAACTTGCTCCTTAATGAGTTTACACCTTGCTGAACTTGGAGGCACGGGTTCATTTGCTATATTAGTCTTTATTTTTCTTTCAAGATGCATTAAATTATTTGTTTTAATGATTTTATTTTTTATATTTCAATGAAATAATAGCCAGAAGGCCTCAGAAAATTTGACTTACCGAGGTTTCAGAGAAAAAGACTCCAAGTTAGGGAGTTTTTTAATGCGTTGATTCTTTGGGAATTCATACAGGGACTTGAAAACAGTTGGACTTAGTGAGGAATTTGACTTAGAGAGGTTTAACTTATCAAGGTTCACCTGCATAAAAATTTCAGAATTTTTGGATGATCATCAGAGAGAGAGAGACCTGACACAGAACCTGTGATTGAGCCATCACAACGCAATTGCCCTCACTTTTATTAGACCAATATTCCAGGAAATATTTGGAAAAAGTTTATTTTCCCTATTTTTTAGTAGATAAAAGTATATTTTAATGAGGTTTTTTTTTATCATTATTTATTTAATACAGATTCCCGGCAATTCCGGCGCAGGATTATTGCTTCAGTCAATTTACAAGATCGCCGACGACATTTCCGAAGCAAATTGCCGTTGTTTTCGCTGCTTTTTTCAAAACCCAAAAATGGAAGCGGTCGCCAGAGAAGATGGCGTTCGGTCTTTTGTTGAGGCAATTGGTCCGGGTGATGCCGCCTACGCCGAGCGGTGAGTCCTTCTTCTTCCTCCTCCTTCTTCTTCTTTTTCTTGTTCCCCGCAGCAGTTCTTCGGGGTACTGCTTCTCTTTCATACACCATCATTTTGTTTCGTTTTTTTTTTCTTTCTTTAACTTTTGGGTAAGAAAGAGGGATGTGATTTGCGTTGTTATGGGGGTGTTGAGACGACAACGCGATCCCGGTGGCAGGTGTGTGCCAAAATTTGGTTCGGTCTTTCGCGTCAACCAATGGGGGGGAGCGAGTTATTATTTTCTGTTTCATTTTTTTTTTTTTTCGTGGTGGTTTGAATCTCGGGCCCACTGTTTGAGCCTGAGTCTTATAAAATTTAATCCGTGGATTTTGCATGCAGAATTTTTTATCTTCAGTAAAACATGGTGCAGTATAATGACCAGGCGATGATCAATCACCCAGCAAAAAAAAAAAAAAATATATATATATATATATATATAAATATATGTAATCCCTGTTAAAGATAAAAAAAAGTTTGGTTTCATCAATATGACATGCTATTAAAATGGAGGTGTGACTGAAATATTTTTTTTTCCGGCGAAGTCCGATTTAAAAAAATATTTATTTCAGGCAATAAAATCAGTGAAGAGAACAGATTAGGAATACTGTAATGTGTAAATAATTTTCTCCTCTCCGCATTCATAAGAAGTTTTTCTCCCGAAATATTTTCAAAAATTATTACCTAATTACCTAATTTTTTTGATTAAGTAATGCAATGGAGAGTTTTAGAATGCTCGCAAAAAAAATCCACCCGAGCCTTTTCACATGTTACCCCTGAATTTTCCTATTTTTTTTTTTGCAAGTCGCTTGTAAATTTCAGTCGTGAAAATTCCAAGTACTGATGTATTAAAAGA